GTGTGAGGGTTACTAAAGCAAGCTAAACAGCTAATACATGGCTGTATCAATAGCAGTCTGTTTCTTAAATTTAACAACATAAATATTTCATACCAGAATTGCATAATTATACTATAGTACAATTTCAAGTTGAATGTACTATATAACTTTTAAAAACGGGTTTATGTGTCATTTCCTTGTGCTCTTACTATTTCTAACAAATTTATCAAATAACTGCCAGTGGATCATAGATAGTTAACAAAAGGACTGAACTCGAGTTGATCGACGCTGTTTAGACTATATTATGTACTTAACTGATTTTAAACCCCTAGACGTTATACGAGATAATTGAATAAAACATGAGCTATAAATGTTTGTAATCTTTTCAATTCTCTATTTACTATCAGGTACACCATGACACAATAGCTGAAGGTTCAGGCATGCGCACATACAATATATACTCTTCAAATGGATGGTTATTATAGTGCAAATTTTCGTATTGAATGGTGTTTATAAGCTTGTTACGTATCCGAATACGACCTGTCATCTCATTAGAAGTAGTTACTGTAATAATTTCACATCTGATACTTAGAAAGATCATTTTGTTTACTTTGTGCAATGATTGAAACTAGCAATGCTTTGGACTTTAAATTTGAATGGAGCGACATGAGCGAAAAGTTTAATTCTTTTAACGCGTTCTATGAACCGGTTGCAGACGACAATTATGAAGTGCAAAGAATCTTGGCAGGAACTCAAATGGAAGGTAAATTATGGTCAATTCTTTGAATGCAACAATATTATATAATACTTATAAGCCAGGCAATAACATTATGATACTTATATATATAGCTAGGTTTAATATTGAAATATATATTATGTATGTTAAGTAAACATTTGACTATATACTTCTGTCCGTTAGGCCTATAGTGACTAACATAAGGATATTATTACGAGAACGTGTGACACATTATTTACTTTTTCTGGTACTTGTATATTTGGTGTAAAATTTCACTAACAGTACAGAGCTGGCTTAATATATATATTACCCGTTAAAAGTTTTTCTTAGAGTCAACTTGTTTCATAACATGACATTATATATTTATTGCCATGAACAGTAGAAAGTTTTTCACCGAATTCCACCCCCTTCTTCGTTGATCAGAAGACGACTCGACATTTGGTTCTTCGGACCGTTTGCAAACAGTACTCTTAAGTGATGCTCACTATTTCGTCTACAGCAATGTCATTGGCGCTTTTCAGAAGGAAATTAGAACATAAGGCTCGTCTTTAATCGGTAATTGATTTTCTGGATCGAAAAAAAAAATCGCCGGATTATCAATTAAAATGTAGTGGGTGGTTAAGGTAAACTATATTAGCTCAGAAAGCGTTTTAAAGACAAATACATATCAATGAGGCTTGTTATTCTGTAGGCTGTATGATTATGTTCTCGGTATATATGTGGTGTAATGAAGTGGATTGAAATGGACAGGGATTGGGGTGTATACTAGCCAGTGCCACAATACAATTTTATCACGATGAAGTGAAGTTGCTCAAATAGAAGGTCGCTGGTCCTTTATCTTACTTTGGTTCTGTTTCGGTTGTATTTCAATAAAGGGAAATAACTCGATTCATTGTATTTGCACTGGCCGCAAGCCAAGTTGGCCGACCGCGAGCCCTTAATCAGCAATATAATAATTATAAAACCGACATATTATCTATCCAGAATCCAGATCGCAACTTGAAAGTCCATAAGCCGACAAAATTAATCAATTAAAAGTCGAATCTTTACATATTGGAACATTTTCGCAAACAGAAATAAATGCTGTACACTGCGCCCTTCAAGGGAAGGATAAGGCTGTTCTAGAAAATCAAAGGACTTGTCGGGATTGGAAAGTTTTTGATTCTCCAACCAAAGGCTCCACTGGAAGGTTTTTCTAGTCCACGACCTTGCCTTCTTTGATTGGGAATTTTAAACAATACTATACCATATTGATTTGTACACCATAAAAATTTTTCTTTCTAGATTTAATGATGTAACGTATAGGTTATTGTCCCCACAGTTTCCAGTGCCAGTTAATCTAAATTTTAGAGGTATTTTTCTGTTTCAAGAGAGATAACTCATTACAAATGATCTGAATTAGATAAAAAAAAAAATACGTCAGCACATGAACATTTTCAAGTCTAAGGGAGATAACCGCTTGAATAATAAATAATACTGGTGATGGTGGGGTTAGTTTGGTCGAAAACTGTTATGATGCTCTTCAACAACAGTACACAATATGTATAAAATTGTACATGTTAGCAAGTTGCCTGAAAAGAATATCGCCAACTTAGCATGAAAAAGCACCAGCGTGGTCATTAAATTGAAATTTTGTTTGATCGAGATATTGTGAACAGTGTATGAGTAATTCTATCCCCCACTAAACGCTGTGCACAGTGAACTATCTATATGATCTAATATTGATATTGTCTGTCAACTTTGAATATCTCTTTCAACTTAAACCTACCCGAGAACCAAATATTTACTCATCATAGCCTAATACTTCAGTTAGGAATCCGATACTTTTACGTTTGGAAGTAATTTGACTCAAATTCCACGTGTAAATGGATACATAGTCCTATAGCAGTTAAACAGGTTACGATATCGACTAATTCAGTTTCTGGAAATGACGTCGAGTTGACACATCCAGTGACATCGGGGGTTCGGAAAAGTAACCCAATCATGTCATGCCTCGCGAACGATAGCATCCATCGTGTTGCACATGGCTTACTTAGTGGACTTTAATTTGACTTGGAAAATTAATAGCTATTAGTTTGAAGAATGACCATAGAATGTGCGTTTAAATATTTTTCATCTATGCAACTAGGGCTTCACTTGAGTGAAAGTGGTTCTGAGAATAGAACCTTTTGTAAGAAATTTTACGATGCTAGATATAAGATTTTAATCAGACGATAGTTAGCTTTTCTCGTGGGTCGATGTCCGATCCTTGCCTATTAGTCAGCTTTATTCAGCCCTTCTCCGTCTCAGTGATGGAGAGACAGATTCTATTCTAGACAGACATATTATATTCTATTCCGAAAATGGGAATTTGCTGTGTACTGAAGTACTTCTTATAAAGAGACACTGACCTAAAATAACCTCAAATAATCACACGTGGTCCTTTTATTAGTTCAACATTTACCAAATACTTTCAAACATGTTGACCAAATGGTTACCGGTCTGCTGTCTATTGGTTAACAATCAATATTTATCTTAAATTACCCCACACAACCTACTCTGTAACAAGTTTTAACTGAACTTTTCTGAAAAAGAAAACAACATATGCACACTGCCTTAAGTTTTCAAGGGTTCTTTGAAAAGTTATGGTGTTTCAGCTCTCCAGTTGAAAATCATTTCCTGTTTCCTGAGATCCCAGTTTACAAATATGTTGTAGCTCAGTAAAGGCCTTTAAAGGCCTCAGTAAAAACAACGTGTTTTTCTAGACTTATTTATAGATCAAACATTGTACACGAAAATAGGTGACGCATTCTGCCGCCGTTGCCGAGTTGGTTGCTCATGAAATATGGGTGAAAGTGAAGGATTCATATAGAAAATCGAAATAAACCAATTTTAATTATTTTGTAGAATATCTGAGGAAACATCTAAGACATAAAAAAATTCGTTTTTTTTTAACTTTGACGAAATTCGGTGTTGAATCCTTATATCCACGAAAATAGGTTACACCACTGTATGTATGAGCTTATAAAAAGCTTAAAAGTCCTTTAAACTAGACTGACCAGTGGCATCGGGCCTATCTGTGATTATGAGCCTCTATATCAATTTATTACAGTTCCGTGTCAAATTGAAATAGGCCACGAACCTGTTAATTTTTACTGTAAGCATGGCGTGACGGTAGTTGTTCTGTTTGTTTCGGTGAATGAATTGGATAGATATGATTTGTCGAGCCCCCATCTAAAAGATTCTTTCCCCGCCCCCACCCCTCTCCGGTTCATGTTATTTTTTTGGACTTCAGTCATATTATTTGTAGCCATACGAAATGGTATTGACGGAATTGAAAGGATCTGAGTGGACAGTATAAAGAATCGGCGAGTAATGAGCTTTCATAATAATAAACCTGCTTTTAGCCAGGTCGCTGTTTTTGTAAACAAGTTAGAAATAGGTCAATTTATGGAGTTATCTCCCATCCGTTGAATTGTTATTTTGAAAAGAAGAAAGTATTCGGTGTCCACCCTCGTGTGAAAAGCAATTAAGTGTATAAATTATAGTGTTACAATCTTTGACGGGAAAAATTGATATATGAATAATTGTGATTTTTTTTTTCCTCCAAAAATATATGAACAATTATTTGAAACAGACTATTGACCTATTTACTCTCTAACGTTAGAGGTAAAATAGTATAGTAAGCCTGTAATGGCCGCCGTACTTAATCGATATTTTGGATGAAAAAATTGCAAATAACATCGTAAACAACCATGATAAAACTCCAGTAAATGTATGGATACCGGCCTGTGGTATTTAGAGAATGAATGAAAATGGAATGTAAGTAAATATTGTGAACATTATTGACGTATAGTCCGACTCTAGTTATTGAGCTGTCATATTTTGTTGTTGATTTTCATTTTCATTATTTTTCTGAATTCTGTTAAAGCTTATTCTTCATGCCAGAAATAACGATTTCATATCTAATGGCTTATGGCCATTGGTCTGCAATTGGTGTTCAATATAGTTTTGGGCTTTTGTTAATCTAAACATATGAATTAAATCAATATGAATGCCAGTACATCAACAATAGACATCAACAGTTGATGAGTAACCTAGGCCTAGCCTAGTAGTAGTAGATAACACTAAGCTTATTTTTATTTCTGAAGCTATTCAACAGATGTTTGTTTTATATTGCCTGTAGTTATATGCAATTAAATCTTTAGAATATGGGTTACTTTCAAATTGTTTGAGAGAAGAGATATGGTACCTACTCTATGACTACAATGATTTTTGAATTGAATTTTGGCAATCATTTTCGTATTAATTGAAATATCAACTACAAAATACTACTGAGAGTCTTAGATTGTCTTTGGATTAATAAAAATGTCATCCACTGGAAAAGTTAATATTTGTCAACATGATTTTTAAGAGGGGAATTTTCAGTCTGAAAAGTGGGTCATTTTCATGTGAATTTTATGGGAGGGAAGTGTGTCTATTCTAAATGTAATTTCACTGAAACTTCCATGGACCTGAAGACATTCTAAGACAAATGTTATACAGTTGAAAATTTTATTTTGAATATCCATGAAATGAGATAGAAAACTTGATTCAGAGCTCAAAGTAGTCAGAGAGTACATCAAGTAGCCACAAGTCAATTTCTCTTGTCAATTTCTTTAAGATCTTGGTACTTCTGTTTTGAGACTTGCAGATAAATATTAAATATCTTAAAAGATATCCATATTTTGATAATGACATCATAAGTATTTTGTATTTAGCGGTACTTTTCAGAGATTAATAATTTGACTGACTAACGAGTTACATTGCATAAAATATTATATTTGTATCAAATATTTAAAGAGGCCATAGAATTATCAGAATGATGAAATTGAAGTGAGAATGAATCTGTGGTATTGACAATATAAGTCAAAGTTTTTCTGCTAAATAAATTCAATCCATCTAATTCAAATCATATTTCTACCTAAGTTATTAGATTGTCAAATATTTGCCTGTTTAGGAAAATGGATTCTTGGGTATCTGTGATCACTCACAAAGTTTGGTTGGTTTGTAGATGACAAGTGTCATCTAAAGTTGATATGTCAGATAGACTGTCCAGTACATAGGCTTAACATATTAATCATTATGTGTTCTTTTTCTGTTTTCAGCTTCTACATCAGGGAATGAAACATGTTACCCTCCTGATGTGAAAGCAGGATTTGAAGAACTATGTCCAGTTTGTGGTGATAAAGTTTCTGGCTATCATTATGGTTTATTAACTTGTGAAAGCTGTAAAGGTAAACAAAGAAACAATATTAGCTCATTTTAATTCTATTTCAACTTTTTCATTTGTTTGTTTCCTCCTTCTTTCCTTTCAATCACAAATCACAATGTTGTCTGTAAAAGAATTTTTTTCTGATATTAGGCAATAGTGCTCAATCAGTTACCTGTACTGAATTTTAATGTGCTGTTATTACTTTTTTTTACAAATGTACTTGGAAGAAATACCTTCTAAAACTGGTTTATAGATAGAACCATGACAATTGCAAATATTTGGAAATTAGAAATATCATTTTTATCAGTAATCTCATTTGCTGAATAAATCAAAAAAATTAAAACCATGGTTAAAACAGCTACTGAAGGTTTTTACTGGAAATCATTCAGAACATGAAATAAGAAGATATATAAAATAGAATATATATCCTTTTAAGACATAAAATAGATACGCGTTTGAGCACTAAGGCTAAATAAGTACCAAATTCCTACTTTAAAGTGGGAGTATGCTCTATTTAACATAATTATATTTTGTGGTTTCGCTATGATCAAAAAACAGAGTAAGAACTAAAAGAAGTAAAGATATGCTGACAAAATTTTAAAATAAAATTATGAAACAATACCATATATGATTGATTAAAAACCAAACTTGATATTGCAATATTAACCAAAATTGATAAAAATGTGTTCAAAAGGGAGATATGATTTTTCAACAATTCTTGTTATTTTGAAGCCAGTGCAAACTCCCTCTTTAAAGCAATTTTTCATTTACCAGTTGAAATAATTCTTTAAGCTTTATACAAATGTGGAATTGCTTTAGGAGAAATTTATGCGAAACCATTGAAATATTTTCTATTTCAATACAGTGACATTATTCATTCCCTCGAGATGTAAAATTTTAAATTTGATGCTTCAAATTTCATTGTAAATTACAATGTCAAAGTTTTGTAAATCCACAGAATTAAAATCAATTCTTTTGAATCAATTCCAAGAATCAAAAACAAATCTTTTAAAAAATTCCAAGAATTGAAACAATTATTCCAAGAATTAATACAAGTCTTTTAAATCAATTCCAAGAATCACAAGTCGTAAATCCATTTAAAAAAAAAAAACAAGTCTTTTGAAACAATTTCAAGAATAAAAATTAGTCTTTTGAATTCATTCCTATAATTAAAACAAGTATTTTAAACCAATTCCAACAATCTAAATAAGTATTTTAAACCAATTCCAACAATCTAAACAAGTATTTTAAACCAATTTCAAGAATCAAAACAAGTTTTTTTTAAATCAATTCCAAAATTCAAAACAAGTCTTTTAAATCAATTTCATGAATCAAAACAAGTCGTTTAAATTAATTTAAAAAATAAAAACAAGTCCTATCAATTTCAAGAATAAAAACAAGTCTTTTGATTCATTCCTAGAATTAAAACAAGTCTTTTAAATCAATTCCAACAATCTTATCAAGTCTTTTAAACCAATTCCAAGAATCAGAACAAGTCTTTTAAATCAATTTGATGAATCAAAACAAGTCTTTTAAATTAATTTAAAAAATAAAAACAAGTCTTTTAAATCAATTTAATAAATAAAAACAAATCATTTAAATCAATTTCAAGAATAAAACAAAGTCTTTGAATTCATTCCTAGAATTAAAACAAGTCTTTTAAATCAATTCCAAGAATCAAAACAAGTCTTAAATTAATTTCAAGAATCAAAACGAGTCTTTTAAATCAATTCCAAGAATCAAAACAAGACTTTTAAATCAATTTCAAGAATCAAAACAAGGCATTTAAACTGTTTGAATGTTAAGAGCATTATTATTAAAACTAATATAAGTATGTCCTACTAAGTAAGGAAAATCTTGAGATAATTAGCCAATCATTAAAATTGATGGTTAACTATCTATTGATATCATAATAAAAATTTCATTTCAATTTGAGTATTGAGGGAATGTATCAATATCAAAGTGTTTTATCTGTCAATTTCATTGTTATATTAGCTTTTGCTTCACTAACATAATTAACATGTATTGAATATGCATGAAGTGCAAAAAAATTCCTGCTTTGAACCTAACACGGTGAGTTAAAAAGGCTAAAAGACAAAAATGGGTGTTACCCTAATGAACAGAAATCTTAAAATGACAACTTAAAATTTTAAGGTGAGTAGCCGGTAACTAATATGGTTAGGGTAGAGGAACAATGCGTGGTTTGTTGAAAAAGTTATACAGAAACTGTCTGCCATTTGGCCTTTATGTTATACAGTGGCTTTAACTTGGTTTCTGAGTCTCAATTATGCAAATGAAGATAAGAATGATGATGTTGTTTTCTTATGAGTTAAACAAACTATTTGCTGAAAAAGGAATCTCCATGAAATCTAATTCCTTAATTCCAGGGATTTTCTGGTCTTATCTTCTCCAAATTAGTAATAATGATGATTTTTATCCTCAAAGTTGTGAAAGACATTTTTTTCACACAGCTCAAAGAAACACAGGGCTTTCAACAGACAATCTCTGGTTTTCAAAGCCATAACATAACATGGAGGTTATATTGGTATGCTTTTCATGTGCACATTTATAATATGCAATGCAAGCAAATGGTATAGGGTATTTTATGTTAATTCATATAAGCATAGTGCTTTGAAGTGTTGTTTTGGCCAGCATTTTCTCTATCTATTTGTTGGTGTTGAAGCTATTTAATCTTTGTTAACAATATATCTGAAAAAAAAAAAAATAGCAAAGTTTGCATAAGCCTTGTTACTGTCAGGTTTGTATTGAATGTGAAATTGTTACATTGTGTTTTGAATACATAAAGGTAAACATGCCTTTAGGTTAAATATAAAAAAGGGTTCTTTTTCTTAAATTTCATCCTTTATGCTTAAGATTTAAGTTGCCAATTACTTCTATGTATTCAAACACAGGTACTTGTTTGTTTCATTCATTCTCTTCTACTTTCTTTCTCTCCAAATAATCCATTGTTATTTTGTAGGCAAAAGGTTTGTGTGTCCATTCAGTTGACTTGAACTAGAATGTGTATGCTATTTAATAGAAGTAGCATGGCATGTTGGAAGAGCATGGCACTGGGATTGCTCTGAGATCTAATGATGCTCCTTCAAGAGGTCAAAAGAGTACCAGTGTGAAGGCCAGTTGATTTTCAACAGGATTTTTATTATTCTGATTAAGTTTATCTACCAATATAATCCATGTCACTTTTTTAAAATTTAATTTGTAAATTATTTTGATAAATGATAACCTTTATTAACTTCTCAATCAAGAAATTTTTTTTTCGCTGAGCATTTCCAATTTGACACAAATTCGTTCAAAAAAAATGGCCATCATATGGTAATAATTTAATGTAAAAGATAGACTATAAGAAAATAATTTCAATTAGATAGTTATACCATGTGATCTTCAGATCAATCTTTGTATACAGCTGTATAAAAAATACTACTATACGTGATTCAAGTTTTACATTTTGTCTGTTCTAATGAAGAACAAAATTATCACTTTAAACAAACTAATACAAAATATAGAACATACTTACGTTGTTGAATCTAAAAACTATTACGTTGTTGAATCTAAAAACTATGTTAAAGACATAGTTCTGCCATCTGTTTGACCACTATACATTTCTTGTATATTTTGCTATTTACATGTATTCAACACCCAAACCAACCCCCAAAAATTGTAAAGCGGTCTCTTAAACCTATATACAAGTATAAGCTTATATGATTCAAGAAGGTTAAGCTTGTCTCTACCTTTCAAAAAATAACCAAGGCATTTTGAAGGAGGTTTCTATCTATCCATGTGATTTTATGTTAGATCACTAGGAAAAAAGCATTAGTGCATAATATCAATTATCCAAAAATTATCCAAAATTATGCAAAAAGATGAAAAAGAAATCATAAATAAAACAGTATATAAAATCAGTCTGAAAGCTTAGATCCTCATGTACCATAAATATTTGAATGACCGTTAAAATGAGCCCAAAAAAAAAAAAACAGAAAAATTTGTTTGATAAAAAAAAATGTTCTATTGTAACTGTGTATGATAACTAGATAAATATGATTTAAAACCTATAGAATATATAGATGACATGATATTGATTTTCTTCTGTTGCGACATTTATATATTGAATGACATTGCCAATGGCATGTTCATATAGCCACGTTTTTTTTTTGTTTTTACGTTTTTTCTGCGACTGGTAATAAAGTTATTAATAACCTATTTTATTAGACAAATGGCTGTATTCTGCCTAGAGTTGCGTTAATGTATATTATTTTGAAAAGAAACTTTGTAATATAAATAATAAGCTCTATCTCAGAAATTCATTAAGACTATTAGATACCTTAGTTAAACCTACTTAAAGGGACAGATGTAGCATTTCCAGGAATAAATCATACCTTGGTCTCAGAAGTTAAGACTGCTTACTTAACAATTATTGCAGTCTGTCTTTGATTAACAAAAAATTATGCACTCTGCCCCTATAAAAAAAAGCTTTTTGTTTTGCTTATCAGTACCAATTTTCTGAAAAGAAACAATGTCTTTGTATTTGATAGTGGTATTAACTAACTACAACCAAGGTTCAGTTTGACACTAGCTTATATTATAATACCATAAAGGGACAAGACTGTTGTTATAATATTTCCAGAATAGGCTGTAGGGAGGTTTTGACTTCTTTCTTATATTGAGATAAGTATATGTCCACTGAAATTTTAGACAGATTGACAAGCAATTTGCTAATTTGCAAATTAAAAGAAAATGCTCATATGATAAATATTAAGTTACTTATGGCCAAAACTGTAGACAATCAAATTGAAAATAAATCAGCAAAGACTAGCTTGAAATATCTAGCTAGAAATTTGATATCTGTATATAATGTTTGTCTTTTACAGGTTTTTTCAAGAGAACTGTTCAGAATAAAAAGGTATACTCCTGTGTTGACAATAGAAGCTGTCATATTGATAAAAGTCAAAGAAAAAGATGTCCTTATTGCCGATTTCAAAAATGTCTCAGTGTTGGAATGAAGCTAGAAGGTGAAAAATTGATAACAGAAATTGAGCTTTCTTATATTTCTTTTTCTATATTTAGAATTTTTGTAATGTTATATTTTTTAATGCGTCTGTTCTTAATATTCTTGAATGGTGTCAGAAATCAAAGCTTTTCTGGAAGAGTTTATTGATCTGATAAATAGGCTGGTTTGCCAGGAAGATGATGATTTTGTCAAAACATAACTCTTATCAATATATGATCCATCATTGGAGATTCTATCAGTGCTTGGAGCTGTTAATACAGATGATAATATTGATGTATATTGAATAGTAATTAAAACCAATACCTACAATATTTAAAATCAAGATGTGGGTGAAAAAATTTGCCCTTATAAGTGTATCTTTTGGGGAGGTGGAATTTCATATAAATACTTAGTGCCTTTACTATTATATCAAACTTCTACACAATGAAATTTTGGATATTGATTTAACTTCTATCCTTAATGCTTAAGAAGTACAAAACAAAGTCTTAAAGAGAAAGAGAAAAACAATGATTTTAAATAGATTTTTATTTAGTCTTAACAGAAACTTTCTAAATGGTAAAATGTATTTTGCAAATGATTTAAACAATCCAAATAATGTATTACAGCTGTAAGATCAGACAGAATGAGAGGAGGAAGAAACAAATTTGGTCCCATGTACAAACGTGATCGGGCCATAAAACAACAGGCTGTACGTCAACAACAACATATATTATCTCAATGTTCACTGCATTTACCAAACGGCATTCCCAGTTTACCACCCTCACCAGAAGATTCTCATCATTCACCTCAAGAATCAACACGTCATGTTACGTCCAGTCCAGTCCATTCTTACAGCCTCAGTTCTTCATCAACTATACCTGCAATTACCTCACACACCTCCAATGCCAACCACACAGAGGGTGGTGGCTCGTTTACAGTTACTGGTCCGTTATCAGCATATCCTCATCCAATGAGGTCACATGATCCATATATTATATCACATGCCTTCCCTTCAACGATCGAAGCTTTACGAGCCTATCCTCCTACTGCCCTTTCCTCACATCAGCCTTTTACACCAGTTGTGCCGCCCCTGGTGGCTGATCTCAAATCAGGCTTATCAGAAGAATCGGAGGTGAAAAACAAATTATTGAACTTTATGCAGTCAGAATTTGGACAATTTAATATAAACAATCCTGATAAATTTTTACATATTTTGTGTAAATTGGTTGATCAGTTGTTGTTTTTGATGGTAGAATGGGCTAGGAGTTCTATATTTTTTAAGGATATGCGGGTAAGTTGAGTATTTTTCGTAGTTAGTGTGAGAAAGTTCATAAGACACATTTTTTGATTCTCGTAAAATTTTATCACTACAATAGCAACCACTATCAGGTAACCAATTGCCATTAAATGAAGGGTTGCTAATTTGGCCTGTAAACTCTCTTTATTTACAGCTGTATAATCTTGCAGAAAAGGACTGTTGTTATGTCGTTATAATCATTTCACTGTCTTTAAGGGCTAAAACCAATAGAAGTATTATTCTTAGATTGTGTTTGTTTTCGTATTAATTTATACAAGTTATGGATTTATGTATGGAATTGCAGCTCTCATTCGTTGTACAAGTTCTTAAAGGTTGTTTTTTGTCTTGTAGGTTGAAGATCAGATGAAGCTTCTTCAGAATTCGTGGAGTGAAATACTATTTTTAGATTTTGTGTATAGACAAGTTCATGATTGTTGGGGTAGTGAAATAGTTCTGGTGAGTATTCTTAGTGGTATTGTACTAGTTATATTAATTAATTAATTACATAGTACATAGCATAAGGAAATATTCATATTGACGTACATATTGAAAAACTGTTTGTAGAGCAGTACACTATTTTTGGGGTAAAATTTGCCTGCTTCAAAGGGCTGGTTGATTTATCATATTTGTATTTGTAAAACTTTTCGAAACAGAATTATTTCCCTGTCCTGTAAACACATATCTGCCGTTTGACAATCAAATTTACTGAATAATAACAATTACTGTTTCATCCCATAACAATTTATCTTTTCATCTTCGTGAAAATAATCCTTTATAATCTCCAATTGATAAAAATATCCAAATTAAATATCACTAATTATTGATTTGAATAACACATTGATAATGTTTATGTATTATATTTTTTGGCCAATATTCAGGAGAAACTGATGTGCTGTCTTCACATGTTGCTCTGTATATCAAAAGACATGAAATACATTATTTTCATCTTTACAGGAAAATGGCCAAAAGATAAATTTAGATATCTTAGATAAATTGGGACTTGGTGATTTGAAAACACGTCTACTAGAATTAATTAAGAAAACCAAGGAAGTGAATCTGGATATCCACGAATATGCGTGCCTTAAATTTATTATTTTGCTCAACCCAGGTAAAATTTCATTTTTTTTTTCGACAAATATAACAATAGAATATTAAAAAACCCAAGTACAAACAATCTAAACTGCAAAATGAAACTCAAAATGTGAAATAAGAGTTTGGCAATACATTTGTAGCAGCAAATGATCAATTCATATGAGGAAGGATATCAGTTATAAATGGTTATATCAGTTTGAAAAGTGGTACCAAGTGTTTAGTAGAGTAAGCATGCCCTACATTATGGCACAATATTTTATTGAAAAAAATACAATGAGATTATTATTATTCATTTTATTTCATTTTTTCAGCCATTAAATTTCAATGACTGCAATCAATTTTCAGAATGAATTTATTTTTTTCTGCAACTTATATTATTTAAGTATCATGTATCAAAGACTGTTGTCATTAGCAGGCCATTATCAAAGTGATTGTAAAGCAGTATTCCAACTGTTATTCTTATGGGCAATTATGGTTTCTTACATCATTTGTGTCAGGTGTCTGTGGTTCCTGTAATTATAGAAATGCTTATGCTTAAATGACATCAATATCACTAAAGGTGCTAATAAATTATTGGCAGCTTTTGTGATAATGTTGCAAAAAAACATTGAAACAGGACATTATTGGAAATGATTGCTTGATGTTGGTTATCACAGCACACTAGAGTGATAATAACATCCTGAAAGTGATGACACCCAAAACATGGTTAATATTTGTTGAAATGTTGAGAACAGAATGCAAGATTTTTGCCAGACATTAAAGCTGAAATGTAGCTCTATTTATGGTTAAAGCAATATGTGTAATCTATCATCAATGTATATAATTATACCAAAATACTTTTTTTACAGATGTCTCAGGACTAGAAAACCGACAGTATGTTGAAGAAAGTCAGGAAAGAGTCAATGCTTCATTGTTGGAGTATTGTCTCAGCTTTTACCCAGATGTCAAAGATAAGTTTGGACAAATTCTGCTGCGTCTGCCAGAAATCCGATTAATTAGTATAAGAGCAGAAGAGTACATGTATTATAAACATATGATGGGTGATGTCCCTGATCAAACTCTACTAATGGAGATGTTACACTCTAAAAAGAAATAACCTTAGTTTAAATTGGTTTTATAGACGCTAATAGTGATGAACTGTAAGACATTGTTATTACCAAATACAAAAGTAGTGCTGGTAGAGATTGTGTTAGCTTTTTCTTAAGATTTAAAGACGTGAAAAAATAAATTGAATTCAAATTCATTTAAAAGGAAATAGTAACCTAGTAGCAGTTAAAATATTGCTGATATAAATGTTAACTTATAGCACAATGATATTGCTATAATTTCTGATAAATCTTAAATTTGAATTCTAATTGATATATGAGATAAAATGGCACAATGATATTGCTATAACCTTACTACTAATATAGAATGAATTTGAATTGGGAATAAATGTTGAATAGCACATTGCTACGACTACATTAAGTTAATTGTAATTAGTATAAGTGTAATCTATAATTTCTAGATAAATAAGAATTTGGGTAAAATTTGTAAATGTGTAAATAGTAATTGTATATAATTAAGTATAAATGGCCTGTAATGTAAGTAATATATATGTAATATGTATCTATATTGGATGAAGTATATCATTGATGTTACATGAGAAAATATCAAATTATCTTAATGTTATTTTTTTTTTTACTAATATTAGTTATGGTTAATCAAATTGTTTATTCAATTGAATCATATTTTACTATCATATATGGTATTTCAGTCTTATAAGGAATCATCCATTTGGAAATCATTAGCAAGAGTTATAGATATTTGTGCACTTCTGGGACATTTCACTACAAAAACAAGAACAGTTCATTTGCAATAGATACATTTATATAAACCAGAATTATATTGTGTTCATTACAATTAAAAATACTTAAAAATGTTGCCTTGATTTACGCAAATAAAGTATTCTCACAGATACTCCGCAAAACCAAATATAAAGAGATGATTTACAAACAGTGACTCATTTTAAAAGTAAAATGTTCCAAAGATACAGTTACTCAGTTTGTGACTCCTATCTATAATGAAAGCTTACAAACTTTTAAATAAGTAAAAAAAAAACATATTTCATTTTCACCATGCCAGAATAATAGAATGTTATAAATAATAGTGCAGAAAAAATTTATTTGTGATTTTAAAAAAAAAAAAAGAAGTTCGGGCATTTTGGGGCATGTGTTTAGTTAGGTATTTTTTCTCCTAATATCATTGCTTTTATAGAAAATTAAATTAACTTTAGTGTTTTCATTTTGATCATGATTTATTTTTTGGTACAAAATTTTTATTTTCCTATCTTTATTGTAAATGGCAGCTTCATTTTATCATCCCATGTCATTATCTGGTACATCATATTTACTTACCTTAGGGAAATTTTATTGCCAATTGAAGTTTTAGATTTGTACCTGTATTTTCAAAATTATTGTTGATTGATCTGGTTGAAATAGTAGGTGTATAGTAACATTCTACCAAATTTAAACAAAACAATATTAGAATGGTATTTATACTGTTAAATGAAATAATCAGTCATTTTGTTCAATGAACAAGGAGTAAATAGGTTTTCTTGATAAATTTTCAAAATAACCTGAAATTTTTTTGAATTGTCATTGATTTGTACTTTTGGCAGTTGTTTTTAGATTTTTTGGTGAACTTGAGGAAAGTTTAATTTAGTTATTAGCTGATAGAATTCTATATATTTGTTAATGTTAGTGTATATTAGATGTTATTATTTATTAGAGTTTTTTCTTCCTGATATAAAACCTGCATAGTGCTGGCTGTCTAGCCCCTTGTTTTGATTATTTGTTTTTATTGTGTGCTTACATGTATATAGATAGTAGACTTTATCATTGTTTGTTGTTATTTTCATTCTCTTTGTTGATTTCATATTAATTAAAACAAAATTTAATGATATTTCTTCTATCTCATTGTCATTTGATCAAATCGCCATAGAAATTTCATGTTTTTATCCTCTGATCTTACTTAAACTTATCTTAAAAAGTAATTTTAAAATTTTGGTGCTTTGATGTTCTAACCTAGTAGATTATATGGGTTTTTAGATTTAGAAAGATTCTTCAGTAATTTAGATTCAATTAGTTTTTTAATTCATATCTATATCAATTAACTTGTCTAGATCTAGAAAAAAATCTACAATTTACGTGTATATCTATTATTGATTTCTAAATATCCAGATATAAAGTGTATTTCAGGGAAATCTTGAACTGTTTCCTTATATTTTGACACATTTCATTTGGAAGCATGTTGACATGTGTTTCAGATGTGAAGTCTGGGCATCTGGTTTGCTTATTAACTATTCAGTGAAGTGATATATAGATATTTTAAAATAAATTTCGAAAATTTCATAAATTTGTGAAAGTGTTAAATGTACTTCAATCTAAAGGTGAATCCAGCGACTGATTAAATGGTGCTTTCAAAGCACTATGAATTGTATTACCTTTAATATTAAAATCTGCCTTTCCAGTAGGCTCTATTATTATAAAACCTCAACAAACCTTTGGTAAATTACAGTTGTTACAAAACTTTTAACCCACTCTTTCTTTTTCCAGAATTATTTCTCTATTTATAGATTTATAGAATTATAGATTATGTTCTTATTCTATTTATAATGTTTGAACTGGATTTCCTGAAAAATATGAGATCTAGATTGAAATGCCAAATGTCTTCGGATCACAGTAAGGGCAATGGTTATTATGTAAGAAAGACACAGTGATAATTATTAATTAACCATAGGATTTTTTTTCTTGAATCAATTAAATCTAGAGTTTTAACTAATTTTGAGACTATCTGTTGGGATATATATGAGTATTAGAAGTATTTGTATTCTGTATATAATGTAAGTATATAGAATATTACCTAAACAATATAAAGAATATAGTTATGTTATCATTATTATTATTATTAAGTATAAGTGTGTACATGTATTTCAAATATTTTTATGTCAGAATTTTTAAAACATTGTGACATATTTCAGGAATATTTTTGAGAGATTTAGAAGGCATTTATCTTCGATATAAGTAGCATTGTCAAAAAATTACTTTTAGCTTAAGATTAATTTAAGATATAAAGATAATTTCTTGATTTAAAGATCAGTTAGATTTTAGATTAGTTTTTGACATTTTGATTACTTTTAGATTTTAAAATCACCTAGATTACTTATAAATTTCAAAATTATTTGAAAGTAGATTTTTAGATTACTATTTAAAGATAACTTTTTAATTACATGATTACTTCTTTATGTTTAGATGATTTATAGATTATTCAGAATGCTTCAAGATTCACATAGATTTGTAAGCTAAAATAGCACGGGTTTTAAAGTTGACCGTTACCTTGAAGCTAATATGACTTTATCCCATGGAAAATAAGTTGTCAGTAGATATATATTTTAGTGACTGATCCATTGATATGAATGAAATGATAAAGTATCGCCAGTTATGCCTTCTTATAAGTCATATCTATCAGATATCGTTTGAAATACTTAGTATACTTATTGAGAAGAGTTTAGGTATAAATTTAAGAATGAATTACTTGTTCATTATATGTATGGGTTTGTAATAGACAATGTTATGTAAAGTGTAATAATAACATTATTTATCACACAGTGTTATTAACTTACTGTATGATATTATTGACTCTGTATACAGCTATAAGAAAAATATTCATGTTAAAATACTTTAAAGATAAAAGTGCTAGGTTCATTTCACTAAATATTATGTAACTAAACACAACCACTAATTTCTTATATGTTACATATTTTGTGATCAAGATCCATTTGTATTTATTAATCATGATGTTTTAAAAAAAAGAAATGTTGCTAGGAAATAAAGATTTCGATAACCAATGTTATATCATTTTGATTGAGCTCCAAAGTTTTGGAACTGATACAGAGCTAAAGAAAGGCGCACATTGACCAATTTCTTGATAGAACTACTTTTTAACAAGGCTTGTCAGCACATCTTTGGATCAAACAGCCTTAAGTACTCAGATACCAGAGATGCTCCAGAAACAACAAGATAATGCAAGCTGCATTAGTCCAAGACACACTGAAATCCTCTCATTTCTTCAGGTGAAGCTCAGCAAAACATAAAATGTATCATAGATCATATATATTTCTTTCTTTGATACAATCAGTTATGATTATAGTTGTAATAGTTGCTTCAAATTTGAGTAAAATCTCTGCTAGGTATGAGAAAGGTTAGTGGCCCTCCGGGACCTGAATCAAGCTCAGATCTGGAATTCCAAGAATGTTTCTTGTGCTACTAGAGTAGTAAAAGTACAGGGCTTTATCAAAACACAATTTAAACTTTTCATTAACAATTTTTTTATTTCAAATATTAAAACATATTTGATTTAATTCATTTGTACACATAATAGTACATTATAGATGGCTACAAAGTTTCCAAAATACCAAACAACAACAAACAAAAATATTTCTATTTATAATAAATAGCCTGAATATGGCAACAAATGAAATGAATTGAATTATATTCTGAATAGGGCTCAATTATATCTAAAAGAGGGCTCAGGATGACCTTGCAACTGTAGATTGGGTAATGTCATTGATCAAAATGCTCCCAAGCATAATTACAATGAGTATTTTTCAGCATGATCATTTCAATGACATGAGTTGATCTGAGACTATATTAAGATTATCAGTTTCATCCATTTGCCTGAATATTTTTCCATAATAATAATCAATTGTACAGGTCAGGAAAAAAAATCATTCAGAGAAAAAATCAAAAGATTGGAAAAGCCTAAATTTGTTAATTTAAAGCTCCAAATTACTATTTTTTTTAAAATAAGCTTTAAGCTATGTAAAGTAAGTATTTATCATAGGCTTATAGACCTACATAACACAAGAAATATTAACAAATCTATAATATAGGTTAGACTGAAGTAATTAACACTACAATATATAAGATAGGCAAGTGTGACACACATCTTTACTAATTACTGTTCAACCAAACACCTGCCATTTAAATTTGAACCCAATATGGATATATAATTTTCATTTCCAGAGGAAATTTATTCATTTTTATAAAAGCTCTTTATTCAAACTAAAATCAGGAATAAATAAGCAACATTCATAGTTTTAAGAGCTGCACATGATGTTGATGTTTTATTAAATTAAAACAGATCGATGGTGAAGAAAATATGAAATTTTATGTCATGAAATCATTACATTTAAATCATGAAATCATAAAATCTTAAGATCAGGAAATCATTACAATTTCAGCTTTAGAATAACAAGATGAGAACAGTAAAACAGTAAACAGACCTTGCATGATGTATTAATTAATTATATAGAGTGTTGCTGCCCTTATAAACTTAAATTCAAATATTGAACTTCATTTACATAAATAGAAATATACATAAATTAGTATAAATATTGCATAACAAATCATAACAATAATATGAATTTTAACTTTTAATTAATATCTATTCTTAACAAAATTCTGAAAAATTAAAACATTAATAAAATTTTTGTTAGTGATATCATTTAATAGTATACATAATCAGTTTTTATAATTTAATTCAGTTAAGCATGAAAAAATAACTAAATAAATGATGACTATGTGAGTGGATGAAAATTGGTTATATGATTGATATGGCTTGGCAAATAATGACTGAATGACTAATGGTTAAATGAATTATGGCTTATTAAATAATGGCTGAAAGAATATAATATCTATTGGTGCAGGCACACGAACCATCTCGTTTGGCGTAATAAATTCTGTTGGGAATGAGATAATCTTGTTGAGGAAGTGCAGACACTTTATTCAAGATTCGACAAAACTCGACAACCAAGACTGTTTGTATGCCACACCATAAGTGAATAGTCTCTAAACCAAATATGTGATGGTGTGATTAAACCTTTTAAACAGTGATTTTTGCTCATGATTTTCAAGATCATGTTCCTTGATCATGACTTTTAAATAGAACTTTGTAATATTGTGTTATATGATCAAAATTTTAGATAGTAACTTATCATGTTTTATCATGTTTTGTGATCATTATATTTGATTTATGAATAGAATCTTATTTTGTTCCATGATTGTAATCATGATGCAACTTATCATGATTTCTCAATGGGATGATCTTTTTTAGATGGAATTAGGCCATACAAAATAAATAGTCTGTTTTACAGGCCTTTTTTTCAAAAATTGGGGCGAGAGGGCGAATTTATTATTTATTATTTATGAGTGCTTTTTTAGACTTTCAACTGGGATAAATCGAAGCGAGCAAAAGAATATATCAATTATTTCCACAAATTTAATGTATATTTAATGTACCATTCGTAGGCAACATTTAGGCATTTTTGGATTCTATGAATCTTCAGTAGAGTTATTATTTAGTAGATTGTTTCTACTCTCTGTCTTTATTTCTTCTAAAACTTTCTTCTCCACTTCAAAATATTTACCCTTTTCTGGCTTATAGAAATCAATCCTAGGAAACAAAAATGAGAATAGTTAGATTATGATTTGTAGAGGTCACATGGTTAATAAGGTTAGATAATGAGACATGAGAGTATGTGAAAATTATATTTCCAAAATTCAAATCATGACACAATTTCATAAATAAAGATTCTGTGTCATTAGTTATTGAAGGGAGTTAATAAATACCCTTATCGATACATCACAATTTATTTCTATCTAACACAATGCATAGATGAAAAGGAAAGAATTGCACTTCATCAATTCATTGGTCACATGAGAAGATAAGAATTGTATTTTTTTTACCTATCATAGATGATTCCTTGTACACCATGACGTTTCAATAAACCAATAGTTTCTTTATCATTATTATCTTCACCCCAGACAAACAATATCAAACCACTATCTTTAACTCTCTTTATTATAGATAAATCTTGTAGTAATCCTTCTGATTGTAAATCTACACCCTGAATTAATACATTAACACTATTTATCATAAGAGTTCAGAAATGTTGTCTTTGAGCATTTAAGCAAAGTCCAATGCACTGCCATAAACCAATAAAATATAAATGATAGGATTAATGAAAATTGATGTCTTTTTTAATCTCTCACCAGTCTTGTACCAAATCAATATATTTAACTTAATGAACTAGCTCATCTAAACATATTCTTACCAAAAAGCCTTCTGAAAGTGCAAAATACATTGCATTGTCATATCCTTGAGCTCTGATATCCATGTATGGTTTATATCTCTGTGTTGGTCCATTAGATAAAAATAATACCGGATATTTATTCTGTTTTCTTTGCAACCTATAGATTAAAGTAAATGTTATAACTCAAATCTTTATAAAAAATGTTTGAATTTCGACTGAATCTGATGTTTCTCTTAGCCCAAGGGACTGAAAAAACAAAAAATACAAGCGATTCTTAGTGTCAAACTTATCTATTTCTTTCACTTACTGTACTATTCTTAGAGCCAAATTTAATGTACATAGATTTTAGATTATTATTACCAAGATGCAAAACTTTGAAGATAATAAAAGTACTGGTAGAGTTTGTATTACATTGTTGAATAGTCCTATGTTAAGACAAATTAACTGTCAGGTATGTTCTTTGACTGTATCATTTTAATAATTAAACATTATAAACAATATACATCAAAATAACTTACAATATACAACTATCAGGATCAAAACTGGAGAAAATAATTCTACGTGACCCAGCCCCTTTAAAAACATCTTTTAATAAAATATCTATGTAGGTATTGTGATCCATGAAACCTGTCATCTCCCATACACCTTCCTATAAAACATAATGATAGTCATTCATAATAAGTTGAAGTTTAGCTCAAAATCACAAGTTAAATTGAAAGCCCCACTTTTTTTTCCATTTTCTATATACAGCCTTTAAAAATATGAAGCAGATCATTAAATTTTGCTCAGACTGCGTCGATACTGGTTTCCACACAGTTATTGGAATAATCAAATTGAATATTAAGGGGATTGTAAGAGCTTTTGAGTTTTATGACACCGATTACATCAATTAACATTCAGTGAGATGCCTGTGAATCTATCCCAAACACTACTAAAAATTTAAGAGCAGTTTTTGCATTAGGGACATCATCCATATTAAGGCATTTCTATAACTGCAGACATGGAAAATTTGACTGATGCAAATAGAAGCTCAAATACACTATTAAACTATATAATATAACAATAATAAACTCAATATTTTTTTTTAGATATCTATAGTTCTCTATACAAGTTCCTCTGGTGACAATTGAAATGTTATGATATACTTACAACATCTTGTAGAGGGTATTTTATTTCAATATTAAAACCTAAACTCTCATCTACACCTTTAAAACATTGTTGTAAGGTAGGAAATGGTTGAAGATTATCAGGATCTACATCACCATTAATATCTGTAGTAATAATAAAATCTCTTAAGCTTAATCAGAGCAATAATGAAACTTTTTTCAACTAAGTAGGCCATATGGGCAATAGTTCCAAAATCCTTTGAATAAAAAACAGACAAGCAAGACATTTTCATTCAAATAATAGCAAAATCAAGAATAAAAGTTGTGTAGAAATGGATTCAGAGGTTTGGAAAAGAGTAAGTATGGTCTGTTTCGCTGGAGACACTCGCCGCAATGTAGCATATAGAATAGAAGTTAGTGATGAAAGGGGCTAAATGTTACTTTATTGACTAATCAGTGCCTCATTTCTCAAATATTTAATTGATTTGTCTAAAGTTTTACATTCAAGAGAATTTATTGTAATTAGTTGTAATTAATTGTAATTAACAAAAAGGCAATAAATTTTGGGGTTTTGAAAAAACATAATCAGGTTCCATATTCATCAATGACCTTAATGGTATAAGAATATTATCTTTAATAAATCAATTATAATGCAAATAGTAAGTCAACTCATAAATAATGGTGACTAAAATCAACATTTAGCATGATTTAAACAACCAATCATGTTTAAAAAACAACCTTACCTATCAACTGTCCAAGTTGAGAAGACAAATGAGAAAGCTGAAATAAAATAACATGCAACCATTCATATTTTTGACAATTCACTTCCAAAATTACTACGGTTTTTGAAGATTTCAATGTTTTGACACCAACTTATAGAAAGATATATCATGATGGAATTTTGTAAACTTTTATGTGGATACTGATAGCATCGATTTACACCATTCCAATTTTCAGTGAGTGTATTTTTCAATTCCACTAAAATTATGTGTTCTATGATGCAGAGAATGCAATTGCTCTTAGATATTATAAGATGCCTTTGTGAAAGTGCACTAATGCATTTCTATAATAACAGGAAACACAGACATCTTATTGGAATATTGAAATAGAAGCTCTGATACACATAAAAGTGTTAAAAAACCTCTTTACAGGCTCTTTTAGAAAATTAAGCCTGTAAAAACCCTCTTGATATTGATTTCCCTTTGCAAGTCATAATATGTTAAGTGACTTTCTATTTGACAACTTGAAACTGAAAGATATGTATTTGAAGTGAAATATAAGTACCTTCATACTCTGTAATTGACGTAAAGTTAAATCTTTAACTGGTATTGGTAATAATTCGTGAGAAGATGTCTGACCATCACTAGGTCTTCTCTAGAAGTAAACAAATACAGAGATTACATTACACATTACAAACAATTCAGGAGTCTTCAATAAATTTATCTGAAACATGGCAAAATATGTTGACCAGTTTAACTAGGTTACAAAGTTTTAAAGCAAGTATTCATTCTGACTTAAATGCAAAATTTCATGTTTCTGTCTGTGGGTGACAACTTGCCATCCATGATCGAACAAAATTGTTATGTAACACCTGTTCTTGGTCATTTAATATTACAACCAATCATATGCTGTATTCTAAAAAGATTTAACTAGGTACCGGTATGTGTTTCTGGTATTTTCATTGCTTACATTGACTTGTATAGTTTAATCTCTTTTAAACAAGTTTTAAGAAGAAGCTTACGGCTCTAGAATCTATTGATAAACTTACATTTTTAGACATGACTTGGACTGCAAAATCATGATAAATAACTGGAAACAAATCTTTTGTCAACATAATGTCAAACTCTACTAAATCAGCTCCCTAAAATATAAAAATTAATTTACATTTATATCATATTCCCCAATCTGGTGTAATTCTAATTTTTACTTTTTTCCTTATTCATAGTCCAATTTGTGAAAACACATATGATATCCCATTGATATACTTATATACAATATTTCATGTACTTACAACATTTCTACTGTAAGCTTACAGGAATTTCTAGACTGGTTCACTAATATCACAAAACCTTGTCAAGTTCTACTTACATTTTGAGCTGCAGCACATAATGAAGCCACTGTATTTTCACGAACTAAGGCTAATCTAAAATAAACATATACCTTATACAATATACATACCTAGAGTCAAACTATTGTAACAAAAAAAGATCCCCCAAGAAATATGATGACCAAAGCACACAATCTAGACAAACTAGTATAATCTGACACAACAATATTGTGATCATAAGTTTAAAATAAGAAAAATCTTTTTGAGTGGAAAAATTGATACTCACTTTTTATAAGAAGATCCCATTCCTCTGTGACCAACATCTAAGGATTCAGTATGTTTCCAATGACTTTGAAAGCAATGTTCCATATCAAACTCTACACCTTCCAAAGGTTTGGCAATCATAAAGTTCACTACAATATGAAATAGTGTGTGTCAAGAAGTGAAACAAAGTTAAGAATAGTTCATGCAAGAAAATGGGAAAATTATGATCATAAGACTACCAATATAGCATACTGCAAATCAAAATACATAATCTACATTTCAAAAAGTTCCTGAAACTTGGATGTTACATATAAAATTATCTGATGCCTAGTTTAAGAGCACTTTAGTCTTGAATATGTCACAGAACTTGAGTCTACGAAATCAGTATAAGAGCTATTTGAATGAATGAATGAATGAATGAATGAATGAATGAATGATTGAATGAATGAATGAATGAATGAATGAATGAATGAATGAATGAATGAATGAATGAATGAATGAAACAGTATACCTGTTATTTCACCAATAGGTTTATGTTTTAAGGACATTATAGGTAGACGTTTGTTACCCAATGTATGATTACAGTTATTGGGTAACAAGTGACTGTACCCTATATATCTTGGTACATTTTTACCATCACAGTTATCATGTACATAGAATTCTAGTTGAAATCCCTGCAATAACAAAATATGAATATGATGCCATCATTATGGTAACATAATCATCATCATCATTATCATCATCATCATTTTGGGTTGATTACTTATATAAATATAGTTTTTTCTGACACTGATATTTATAGCTAGCATAATTAATTGATAATAGGTTGAATTATTAATTCTATATAAATTGTCCAAAATGAGCATTAGAAGTGGAGGGTTTTATATTTTCTGTTCAGTCTGAAGGACAAATACAAAAAAAAAACCATACTGCTCTTAAAAAAATTGCTTTTATTCATCTTTACTTACAAGAGATTCAGGAAATAATGTTTCAGATTTAAATATCATGTAATCATTTTGTTTATAAATTTCACCAAATTGATTCTGTTTACATGGTACACACATATCATCTCTTAAAACCTTAAAAAACAAAACAACTGGACATTATTATCAATAAACAGTTCTTATACATAATTCATTGTCGCAAAGCAAGCAATTTTAAAAATATCTATTACCAATACTGTACAATGTACAATTGCTAATACAGTGCACACACCTTCTTGCCCTATAACAAATCTGGAAAAATCTGCCTCTATAAATAATACCCACCCCTTCCAGACAAAACCAATCAATAAATTGATGTTAACATGCACATAAAGTTTCCTATTAATACAACAAATACATTCAGAAAAATAGAGTTTATAAGACAGAGTATAGTTGGTTGCGAAGGAATGTAATAAAGCCAGCTGTATGTATATTTAATATAGCATCTGAATGTTAATAAATCTAGGTAAACTTACAGAGATAAGTACTTCTGATAGCTGACAGGTCAACGGACCTTCATTACTATCTTCTTCACCAAAATCACAATAATTACTAAAACCACTGGTATTAGATTCGGTCTGCAATATAAGCAATATATTATATACTTACAGTAGTAGAGTTTCAGTGGTAGAATCTACCAAGTACATTTAAACCTGTAAACCAGCATCCTCTTGAAACTGACATATTTAAAAAGTCCCGACCGAATCACCAATGGTTGAAACAATTTTTGAGGGTCGAAACAAATTAAGGATATAGAGGCATTTGGTCTCCACTTAAAAAATAAATTTAGACAACAGTTAGATATTTGAAAGAAAATGAATGGAGTTTTATGTTCTACCTTTCTTCACCGGTCAGATATGTGAATCTTATTCATTATTTGTATTCTTATATAGTAAACTTACATGTTTTACTCTGTAATCTTTAGAAACACATTTAATACTATATGTTTGTGTTCTATGACGAGGTTTATACATGTTTATTGGGTTATTTTCTAATCGCAGTTGAATAGCTGTTTGGTCTGACAGCCATCCTTGTGTACCATAATTATACCCATCTGAAAAACAATTCATTTCAAAATTATAATGGTGACAATCTAATTTGTTTTCTTATTTAAGCTACAAAACATAAAGATAATAACTTGATTTCATTTTCTTAGTGTATATCAATATAATATATGTAAGGTTTGTTCCTACAAATATACTAGAAACTCTAGAATTCAAAAGAATTGAAAACAAGCTCTTGGTTAATACATAGAACTGTAATAGTTCTATGGTTAATGGTTTATACCACAACTAATAAAGTTCAATTTCAGCTAGTATAGTAGTACTATTTCATAGTACTTTTCAGAATAAAAAATACAGATGTTCAGATCGTATACCATTAAGTAGAATACTTTGACCAGAGGTAAGACATGGTCTAATTTCCTATACAAACATTACCAATAGAATGATGTTCTTGGTAATGTTTGTATAGGATATTAATAATGAGCTGAAAATTTAGATTGTAGACAAACTATATGTCATAGTCTTTTAAACTATCATCTTTCCAAGAACAATAACACCCAGTATCAAATTTTCTATGATTCTGTTATACTGTTTAAAAGTAATTCTCTGATTTAAGCAATTCTCACTAAAATTATTCTTTTTTTTAACTGTATCTCAGTCAGTTAAACACTTAGGTCAAAGGTAAATGATTTTTACCTTTTATTGTTTTTCATCAAAAATGTATATAAGTATGTATAGAAAAATACAACACATCAGGATCACCCCTTATTAAAATCACAATTACACAATATCAAGCTTTGAGCTCGAGCTCAAAATACTGAACAGGGACATGTTTTAATTAGTTGGTAATTAGGAATTCATCGTTACGGCAGCACTTAAACAGACCAGAAACCTCTGTGTTACTAGCTAAACATTATTCAAGGCTAGAAAAAGATCTGAGTTAAAGCAGACATCAAACCAATCAAACATCAACAAAACTGAAAAATAAAAGTTAATACTGAAAATTAAGGAGGGTTTCATTGCAAGCTGAAATGAAGCAGTGATAATCTGTTGATAAAATTGATATAACAATTGACAATATTCATATGTGACCTGTTGCAAGTCTGTAACAACTGATTTCAAAATTATATTGTTAAATAAATAGCTACTGTTAATTTCAGAAGCGTTCTACATCTATTAGACTTATATTCCAAACCTAGTTATTCTAAAGATACCACTTAATTGCTACTTGTAGTAATACTATAAGCTAATTACTTGTTAATATTTATTGAAAAATAGTAAATCTAAAGTAAATATGACAGAAATAACTAATATATTAAAGGTTTTAAACTAAGCTTAAAGTGAAGTCAGCAAAATGAAATTCTTTTTACTAAAGTAGCTATATAATGATTAAGATAGGTCAAACTAATTGAAGTCAAACTAATTGAAGTAGAAAAAAAAAACAATTAGACTTGACTATACTATGACATACAAGTAATTTTTAAAATTTCATTTTCTTTGTAATTAAAGGATAAATGAAAAAAAAATTATGCTTTATCTTAATAACAAACATACCATACTCTCCAAACATAGCTGTACCCATAACTTGTACATCTTTATTTTCTGAAATAGGGAAACCAAATTTTTAAGTTACATGCTTATAGCCTATGGGCAAAAGTAAAGATAGCTTGCCAGGCATGGTAACATACACCCACAGGCAACTTTATATAATTAAAACATGTGACAGTATGTAATATTTTACCTTTGGTTCCTCTTTTAATCGGAACAATTTTACCAAGTTTCAAACAACAAGGGCAATAACTCATTTCAAATATTTTTCGATTCTCTTTCTTTTCCAAATGCCTCACATATTGTATTTACAATCAACAGATGGATCAATCAACAGACCGACCGACCGACCACATTTCATGTGATAGTATAAAATAATTAGTTCTACCTTTAACATGAGCTAATCTGGGATTGAGATTAGTTTCCCAGTGTTTAATAAGGTATTTCTTCTCGCCGTCTGCTGTTTCTAATGGTGCTGTTACACAGAATCTATATTGTACTTCTGTATTAGCTGGTACATCTAATATAATCCACCATAAATCACTGTAACAAATTTCAATTACATTCTATATCAAATCATATATCTCAAGAAATACTTAAAAGATGAATTATGTGTTCATGCATCAATATAACATAAATAATTTAAATAACATGCCTCCCATTTCCTGGTTTTTCAATTAATATCAATAGATGTCTAGAGGAAGTAATCATGCTTTTATTAGAGATTTTACTAGACTGATGATAGATTTTTCAAAATACAGTACATAGTCCCCACTTTAAAAAGATTCAACATTGGTTTTCATCAATTAAACATAATATAATACATGTATAACGTTTATTTGCAATTTCCTATGCAATGTTTGGTTTTAATAGTAATTTCAATAATAATAATAATATTCTGTTGTTTTTATTTGTTACAGGATTACAGAAACCACAGAAGTCACATTAGAATGTTGAGCCAATAAAGTATCCTCAATGCAAAGGTTTCAAAAACTCTTTTGAATCTATTTGAGATTTACCCAAATGTAGTACCTTCCACATTAACTTAATATTTTCACTTAGAAACTAATGTATTTAGTTGATAGAGGTATGTAATAAAACTCCATACTGGCCCTTTAATCTGTTTCAATGTCAATGTAAAAATCACTGAAACTTTGACACTGAAAATTATAAAGGCATTAATAGTGTAATATGACCTTGGTTATGTGTTGCTCTACTAGATATTCATATACCTACCAATAATAACAATACTCATAATGTTAAATCATATATCAGCGCCTAATTGTTCCAATATGAATTTAGAATGTGTGGGTCTTGTATTTTCTAAGCTTACAGTTTAACAGTTTGGCTTTATTTTTCCAATGTTAATATCTATAACCACTGTTAGTTTGTTACCCCTACCTACCCTCCATCAAATTCAGTTCAAATGAATTAGATCTGAAGATCAGACATCATGACCAGATTAGTAAAAAACTAATACTAATAGTTGTTCACCAATTAATGAAAAAAAACTTACTTATTTATCACACCATTTGGTACATGTTTCTGAAGAGAAACCACATTTTCAGGATTCCAATTACCCAATTGAGGGATATTTCCTGTTACACAAACCACCTCATTTTCACTGGTTGGCACCATAACACTTAATTTCATTTGAGCAGTCATCTTATTTTTTTAGGAGTTACTAGTTAGTTACTGAAATAGAAAAAATATTGAATATCATATGTAATAAAACACTACTATTTCTGCATGAAACAACACTGCATATAAGATAACAACATTAAATACCCAGTATGATAAAACAACATTGATTATCATAACACAACACTGAATACCTTACCACACCATAACATTAAATATAAAAACAACATTGAATAACATACTGAGTGTTAGATGTTGCAGATGTGCTTACATTAAATCACCTGCACAATAACTATATATATAGTATATTCATCTAAATAAGGAACACTAAAAATTGATGTCTGTATATGATTATATTATAAGTTTATGTTCCAAGGTTGGTTGATTTGCTTTCACATATTGTTTAGATCACAGAAGTTACATAAATATAACTTATTTGTTAGTACATTGAAGTTATCAGACTAGAACTGTGCTGACTAGCTTCAAAATAACAACATGATCCTTTCTCTCATTTTTTAATGGCGTCAAATATTATCTGGATGTGTCGGTGCACACTTTAATCTGCAATTGGGGAAATTCTCGCTGGCTTCTGTGCACAGAGAAATTTGACATATTGTAATAAGCCCTGGAATTTTATTGGTTGACCTTAAGGCCCGGTCATAACAAATACCTGCAATTTAGCTGACAATTAAGACATGTTAGGATATCTTCAGATCAAACGTGCCAGATCACTCCCAGAGATTTTGTCCTAGGACTCTCACTTCATGAAACTCAAGACTCAAAACACTTACATATTGGTTTAATAACATAACACATTCTTTGATTACAGTCTATTTCCAGAAATATTACAATATACACAAACTTCATGTATTCTACAACACTATGTATATATCTACAACAGAGCTTCCTCTATACATACTCTATTAAATATGATAAGTCTACACAGTGTTTTATCATATCAGGAAATGCACAAATTACTGAAAAATAACACTCAAACAATCATTAGGATTAGCATGTTGTGGTTTTTAACATTCTAACATTACACTAACTATGTTATAATAATTGATTGGCAATATGGCAGTTTAATTACCAATTTATATCTAGGCTACAAAAATTTCAAGGTTACAGACTATTGATGCACTCATTCTAAAATATGTCAAAATTACATACCAATTATACAAACTAATATCAAATTCCACAAGTTATAATTGTTTGAATTAAAAACAATTACCTTTGACAAAGAAATATGAAGGTCAACCAATCAAGATCTTAAATCAAATGGCAAATTTGTTTTAACATTATGCTGTGCACATTTAAACTAAATATAATAATTAATCAATATATTTCTTAGTATATACATGTACCGTAACATATTGAAGATCACAAGATATATACACTATTTCTGGCTTGTATTTAATGCATAGTGAATTAGTTCACTGTGCATGATTGCATTCAATTTAAATATCTAAACAGTTTTAATAAACAAGTATTTAATTGGTGCAAACCAGTTTAATGAAGTGACTAACTATGATGCATTAACTTATAGACAACCAATATAACAGGATATGATAAATCATTAAAATATTGCACTGTTTGACACGTGAATTCAAAGCAATTGAAATTCTGAGTTTGTTGTGAAGTTTTCATAAGCTTACAAGGTATACACAAAAGATGATTTTTAGAGCAAATATCAAACATAGGACCGTTTTTTCTTAACCAGCTAATGTTCATAAGTGTATGAGCTCACTGTTTCTACTCCTCAAGTCAAGTCATATCCAACTCTGTCCTGCTGAGGATTTGATGCCTAAAACTAATTGGTTTTGACGTTATTTGTTGCGATATATAATAAGACAACCTTAAAGTCATATAAACAGCTTATGACATAACATGACATTTGTTTTGTAATAAATATTTAGAGACCACTCAAATAATGAATTTAGTAAAATAAGAATATTCAAACCCTATATTGATTCCATTAACACCACCATTTTGTGTTATCTTTAAACTTTTAGTATTCAAAATCTTATCTGGATTTTACAACTTACAACTTCTTCTTATTCTACACACTTAATTCAATTAGTTTTCCCAAGGAAATTGAGTGACATTAGCTCAATCCTAAAAGACCAGAAAGATTTATATTGTCAAAACCACTGCCCTTTGAAGAGTTGAAATGGTAGCAATGAGTAAAGTGAAGAAAGAATAAAAAACAGTTGGCAACATTTCATACTGAAGATAAGAACCTTTTGACCAGGATGTTAGGTATAGTACTAGTATCTATTTAGAAACTACCAATATTATTAGCCAAGTCAAGATAACTGACCTGATTCTGTATTTGTAAACAGATGTAAAAATCAATCTCATATAGCTACAACCAAATTGCTGTATATAGCCAATTCTTCAACTGCAGCAAAATTCATACAGCCACAACCCAATTGTAATAGCCACTTCTTGAACCGCAACAAAATTCATACAGCCACAACCCAATTGTAATAGCCACTTCTTGAACCGCAACAAAATTCATACAGCCACAACCCAATTGTAATAGCCACTTCTTGAACTGCAACAAAATTCATACAGCCACAACCCAATTGTTATAGCCACTTCTTGAACCGCAACAAAATTCATACTGCCACAACCCAATTTTTATAGCCACTTCTTGAACCGCAAAAAAATTTATACAGCCACAACCCAATTGCTATAGCCACTTCTTAAACCGCAACAAAATTCATACAGCCACAACCCAATTGTAATAGCCACTTCTTGAACCGCAACAAAATTCATACAGCCACAACCCAATTGTTATAGCCACTTCTTGAACCGCAACAAAATTCCTACAGCCACAACCCAATTTTTATAGCCACTTCTTGAACCGCAAAAAAATTTATACAGCCACAACCCAATTGCTATAGCCACTTCTTAAACCGCAACAAAATTCACACAGCCACAACCCAATTTTTATAGCCACATTTTAAGCTAACAGCCAAATTGACAATAGAGCCACAACATAATTTATACAGCCACATTTAAATTCTTACAGCTTCATCAACATTCCAAAGTTAACACAAATTAAGCATAAAACCATAATCTTTCTGAGTTTCATGAGTGAATGTAGACAGGTGCAACAAATAATTTCTATTAGTCTAGATACATTTTAGTTTAATTGACAATACTAACTTGCTAGGACAAATTCCCTTGGAACATAAAGCAGAAATTATACTTTTTCATTATTACCCTTATTCAAAATGACATATCAAGGCCTGAGGCTTGTGAGTCAAGTTCAACCATAATCTTTCAAACAATTCAAAGAGAGAATGTCATTGACCATCTAATCAATATACCATCTCTCATAGTGCAATAAACACCTATACCAAACACCATGGTTAGTATAATGATATTTTATTTACACCTTACCTTACCTGCATAAAAGTCCGAAGTCCAATTATCCAATTGAGATAAACTAAAACATAAATTTGAAGCTAAAAAACATTAAAATGACAAATGACATCCCAGAAAATAAACACAAATCATGTTACCTACATGGTTATCTTCTACAAATAATAGTATTTACCTGATTATGACCACCAAGATAGTAGCCAATAGGTTTTATATAATGACCAGTAGCTAATAAACTTCTACCTTGAAATATCTACTGTAACAGATGGCAGATATATATATATACAGTATATGACACGCTCTGTTGATCTAGTCTGTTGATCTAATCTCAGCAGTAATGTTATATATTTATAATAGACTGCCAGTCAAGATAACATACACTCTCTTATGATATCTATAATCAGCTAGAATTATCTTGTAATATACATATCATACCTTTAGTATCTACAATGGATTACTTATAAATATTCCAGAGGTGCTGGTTGAGACAGGTTAATTAACTGTTATAGATTACTCACTTTGGAACCTTATTTTTTTTAGCCAGAGTGTGGTTTAGAGGGGTTCCAGTTTAAGAAGATTTTCTTCTATAAATTCTATAGACTTTTTAAATACCGGTATGCCTCTTTAGTGGGGATGTCAGTTTACAGGGGTGCCCTTCAGAAAGGTTTCACTGTAATAGTATACCAGCATGCCAATCAAGATAACATACCTGTAGACTCAGCTAGTAGAGTTTTACTTAAAAGGTGCTTAGGTTGACCTTGCAACAGGCAAAATAAGCTTAATTTAGAGAGACTGTATCTCCAACAATTGCTGTCTATTGACAGCTTCGGATATAATCTGATCAATGACTAGAAATATTCAGTTTACTGTAAGCTGGAAAATTGCTGCTGCCATCACTTGCTCATATTTAACTCTCTTTCAAAATTCAGACTAAGAGTTGATCTGAACAACAGAAATTTGCAATCACTCAGTTGATCTCAGTTAATTGCAATCAATTGATATGAGGAATGGATCATATGACTCTATGCATGACAAATAGAAAAAACATGTGGAAATTCGTAATATAGCAAAGGTAAGCTTATCTTTCAGACTGTGTTATTTTTACGGACTACTTGGAAAATAGGTTAATTGAAATATATCAACAGTGGCATAATGATGTATTATAGTTAATCAAGAAGCGGAACGGCACAAAATAGGACGTAAACAAGGTGACTTTCAGACACTAATAAAAGACGTAGTTTAGATTACAAATAAATGACTGTCCTATCATCAAAACAACTTTATAAAGAGTGTTTTTTGTAATATTATACCACAATATACTACTACAGTACTGGGTTTTCAATAACAACTATTATTCTTTAAATAAGATTTAAGAGATTTTTATAGCAAAAACTGCTTTTAATAGCTTTAGAATCTTTTGCAAAAAAAAATGTATAAATAAAATAAATTTAGAAAGTGAAATGAGAGCTCCAATCCGTTATTTTCATTTTTTTGTACGGAATGGTCACAAAAAGTTCACGGTTGGTCCATCAATAATAAATACTTCACTGTCAATATCGATTATGTAAAAAAAATTTTGCTACACTAGAGCAAATTTTCAGGCA